TTTGAGGAAGCCACGTATATTTTAAGGTCTGTCATCACACTTCTCGTACCCTTGTTTGTATCAACTCAGGTTAGAACAATTATGTGGCATTTGTTTCGTGTTTAAGTTGATGTCTTACAAGTGGTTATGCTGAGGAGGATCTATTTTTATTACTGATTTTAATTTTAGCTTAAAAACAGAGACAGACAGACACAGAAGGTAGTTTACGTGAGAAAAATATGTGACCACTTTTGTCACATCAAACACATATTTACCCTTTTTTTCACAATTATGAGACATTTAACATTGTAAAATTATATAAGACCAATATAAAACTGATGATAATACCATGTTTACACTTTAAAATACCTATAAAATGTTTATTGGCCAAACACGCCACTGAAGGCAGCAAGATGACTACGGAATTGTGTTTCATGAGCCACGACGACCTCGAGTTTATTGTATGCTGATGCGAGTTTCCTCTCAAGTTGCTGTAGACATCTCATCCATCATACACAACTCACGACTGAGTCCTTGCAACACAGGCAGTAGGTGACACGTCTACACATCCACCTAGACACCAACTGAGTTAGCTTTTATACAACCACCAATATACACACCACGTTGCACCTGATCTCCTCCACAATCCCACGTTTCACACAACGCCAGTAACCACATGAAGCCCAGAACAAGAAGTGACAAGGAACATTAAACTACTGATGTGGACGGACAACGCTTCTTAAAACACCTACTCACTTGAAACTCTGACAGACCAAATGTCACTGTAAATACGATCAATTCAAGCAAGACAATTGGAATAATCTCTCGGGAATACAGAACACAAACCTCCTTAACGTCCTCGGCAAGGCGTTACTAAACTGTTTGGTGGATAGAACAAAAATATCCCTCAAAGGAGACCAACAAGAAGATTCTATTCGGCCAAAGGTTGGGGTTGGAGCTACATGTTTACAGTCGGTCCGAGAGAAAAGTTGGATAACCTGAACGAAAGAGCTTCAATAGCTGTAACTGGCAAAAATACCACCACTATTTTTTCTGCTTTAATAAGATTCTAAACATGACAAAGGAAAATAAGACCGAAGTAAGACCGAAGTAAGACCGAAGACCGAAATAGGACCGAAGTAAGACTGAAATAAGACCGAAGTAAGACCAAACTTTGACCGAAATAAATACCAACCAAATCGTAACAGGGCAACTTTAAACTCCAGACCAGGTACAATGAGACTCGATCACCAAATGAGGCGAGGAACAATACCCAACCCAGTAGGACACCAGGTACAGAGGAGCCATACCTGAGTAACCAGTGTATAGTATAATCAGAGCCACAGAGAGAACACCAGATCATGTCCCGATTCACTGTAGACAAGAAACATATCTAGCCAAGTAAAACCAGGGCCTAGGTCAGTCTTGTAGGGCCAGGGGAAGGAAGGAAGGAAGGAAGGAAGAGCTAAAACTCAGTCAATTCAGGCAAGTTCTATGAGTGAGATCAAGACGAGTTAAAAGCCAGTGAGGTCAGGTCAAGACTCATACCAATTATGTCAAGGAAAACGAATGAGCCCTGTGAACCCAAGACAGGAATTGAACCCGAATGAGATCAGGACAATACTCAACCAACACACACACACACACTGTATTTATAAGTGAAATGAATGGAGTATACATAAATAAATAAATTAATAAATAATCATATAATTCAGTCAGGCAAAGAAACAGATAAAAACTCAATTAACATTTTCTTCTAGTAGTTGTTGTGGTTGTGTTAATCATTATACACTGGACGCCCGCTCGTGTACACTCACCAAAGAAGTCCTGTTGCCTCTCCATGAACCCAGAGACCCAAGAGACGTCCTCACAGATCTATGAATCTCTGTTGGCGAGTGTATAGTTCCCATCGCTAGTGCGTTTACAGGGGCTCGTCAGATTTTGGGCAGTGTGGCAGCGTTGTGTTTGATTATATTCGACAGAAGGAAACTCGCAATAGTGAACAGACTATGGAATCAAACTATAACAATATTAAAACAAATATCTCAATGAAAATTATTTGTGGAATGTTTATCTGACGAGCCCCTGTAAACGCACTAGTGAAGGGGACTGTACATTAAACTTTGAATCACTGATGGAAAAAAAAGACATTCATTCTTTACAAAAAAATTTAACAACTTCTTCAGGGTGACTGGGACTGTACTCTCCCTCCTCCTCCTCCTCTCTCCCTTCATCCTCCTACCCCGCCTTGTGTCTATCTTACCATCTCACATGTTCCACTCCAGACTAATTATCACTTAAACGAAAGGTTGCTTGGATCAAAGACCAACTTGTTCCGGGGAAATTGAATCAAAAAGTGTCAACTCCCGACAAAAGTTACTCAATCGCCGCTCCAAAACTTCTTTGAAACTTAAGCCTCTTTTCATCTGAACACAAGACATTTTTTAAAACCCTTTTGTCCACACCTGTCACAAGGCAGGCAGGTGACCACCACACATCATCACCACCGCCTCGCTCATATACACCTGGGTGGAGCCTAAGATGACACAAGGGAAGAAGATATTATGTATTCCTGTGAAAAAGTCAGCCACGATATCATTAGTCTTTCTTAATGGTAATAAGAAACCATAAATTATACACTGAGACTGGGAGTGTAGTGGGGGGGGTCCCACTGAAGTCTTGTGCTTACCTAACCAAAAGTCACTTCTTCTCAATTAGTAGAATGAATTTACAAGGTGTGTGATCCTCCCTCTCCCCTCCCTTACCACCCCTATCCCTCTCTCCTCCCTTACCACCCCTATCCCTCTCCCTTACAGCCGACCTTATCACTATTTTAAGTATAATATTAACTTCTAAAAAAAAAAAAGACTACCATAACTTCTCATATATTTAAGGAACATTATGAACCACCTAACAGTTTAACACATGAATATATTTAATTCTATAAAAAATAAAATAAAAATGTAACCAAGTCTTAATTTCAGGGAAGCTACTTGTCCTTACGGGTAAAGAAGCACTGTGACAAAACCCTCATACCAAACACATTAACACAGATTAAACCATTAGAATTATCTTAAGCTCCAAGAATATAATGTGACACTGGAACTATGTGGTGATAAATGGCATTAATCAAAGGGGCAGATATTCCAGTGCCTACGACATAAAGCAGTAAGGGATTTATATACAAGTATCGGGAAATAAACAATAAATCTCTATAGAACTCAACGGTGGACTAACTGGTACTTAATGATGCCATGAATACCTAAATTCCAAGTTATAATTACAGTTAGTTAAATGGGAATTACTCTTAACCACTCGGAAAAAAATCACGTTCCATGCCTTAACCCTTTGATGACGATGGTTTAACATTTTGATGACGATGGTTTAACATTTTGATGACGATGGTTTAACCCTTTGATGGTGATGGTTTAACCCTTTGATGATGATGGTTTAATCCTTTGATGATGATGGTTTAACCCTTTGGTGACGATGGTTTAACATTTTGATGACGATGGTTTAACATTTTGATGACGATGGTTTAACCCTTTGATGATGATGGTTTAACCCTTTGATGATGATGGTTTAACCCTTTGATGATGGTTTAACCCTTTCATGATGATGATGGTTTAACACTTTGATAATGATGGTTTAACCCTTTGATGACGATGGTTTCACCCTTTGATGATGATGGTTTAACACTTTGATGATGATGGTTTAACCCTTTGATGATTATGGCTTACCCTTTGATGACGATGATGTAAATAACCTTTTGAGAATGTTGGTTTAACCCTTTGATGATGATGGTTTAACACTTTGGTGATGATGGTTTAACCCTTTGATGATGATGGTTTAACCCTTTGATGACGATGGTTTAACCCTTTCATAATTATGGCTTACCCTTTGATGACGATGGTTTAACCCTTGAGGACGATGATTTAAATAACCTTTTGAGAATGTTGGTTTAACCCTTTGATGACGATGGTTTAACACTTTGGTGATGATGGTTTAACCCTTTGATGATGATGGTTTAACCCTTTGATGACGATGGTTTAACCCTTTCATAACGATGTTTTAGATTTTTGAGGACGATAACTTAACCCACTGAGGACTATGGTTTAACCCTTTAATAACGATGGTTTAGAATTTTGAGGACTATGGTTTAATCCTTTGAGGACGATGATTTAAACCCTTTACGGATTATGGTTTAAACCCACTCGACTTCAAAGGGTTAAGTTCCATTACAAACACACTTTATTTGCACTAACATTACGCGGGTGAATTTATTTAATTGTAAACTGACAAAAAATCACATTACCTGATAAATATTTTTGTTGGTCACATAATATATGAAACCAATGGTGTAATTTGTCTTATCTAAATATATTCAACGTTCAACTGACCATCAATAATAATAAAACTCAAGTAAATATAATTCTTCAACACTTCTCAAAAAATAATCGAGTTCCTTTACTATAATTTTTGTCTTTTTCAAATCTCCAAATTCTCAGCCACAAATGGAGAAAATGTTTTTTTTTCATATGTACAAAATTCTTAAACTGTTCTAATTTTTGTTAAGATCCTGAGAAGAAAAAAAAGTGGGTTTTCTTGCCTCTTGACACAACAAACACTTAACTTTCTCTCGAGTGTTTGGAATTTAAATCTTTCATCAAGTGGTCCTCAAGTCGTCGTAATGTTAACACTGTGTTGACCTAATATCCGTAAAGGTTATTTGAAACACAAAAAAATGTGAATGAATGGAAGTGTAAATCCTACGATAAATGACACAAACAACTGAACGATGGACCACCAGTACCTGCAACTACAAACACGAGCGGGGAAATACTTGCTACGGCCCAACTATGTTCTTACTCGTTGGTGAATTTTGTAAACGACTAGAACAAAAAAAAATTCACATCCCACTAAAGTTTTACAGCACCGCGAGTCACAGGTCCAGAAGGTAAATTAAAAGGTACTATCATTTATTTTCAGGCTGGGTAACCTTGGGTGACAGGTGAGGGTAATTAAGAGCAACTCACCTGGAAGAAGAGGCAGAAGCACACCCACTGGTAGTACTTGACGTAGCGTTTCTCCTCCTCATCCTGGGATTTCTCTATCCCTGGGTGAGCCACGTCAATACCCAGTCTCTTGTTGTAGGCCGAGGGATGTAGGTGGAGTGGATCCAACAGTAGGTGTTGATCACGTCCTCCGGGATCTCCTTGGCGTGAATACAGTCGATGGGGTTACCGACGTACTGACGTGTCGTGACTATGAGGCTGAAGGCCAAGAGAATCATCACGGTTATGGAGTAGTGGAGACGGAACACCGAGGAGTCAATGTGGACATGGGAGACTTTGATGAAGTTCTTGAGGCCGCGGAAGATATCCAACATCTTGCCGGTTTTGTTGAAGCAGCACTAACCAGATTAATTTTCATTCACTGAATTTTGTAAGTGAGCAGTTGGCTTTACTGCTCCACACCTGGTGCTGGGGACCTCCTCAGCGAGTGCCCTACACGAAGCTCAGTCTTAGCTTCCACATTAACTGAAGAAAGTTTTTTTGTCCCAGAAAAGCACGTCATCTGTGACAACGTGTGACCAGGCGTTCTCGTTGTCGATAAGAGAAAGCCATTTAATTGGGACTAATAAAATTTAATTCCAATTGTAATTAAAAACTCTTAAAATATTAAGTTTTTGATTTTAAAGACGCTAATGTAATGATAAGAGAACTAGCAGAAAGCCATGACCGCTTTGTATAATCTACACTTCTCATACACTACTACGGAGATCAAGCACCATTTTATAAAATCTACTACCAGGGATAATAACATTTGACACTACCAGCAGCCAGTGGTCGGCCGGGCTACCAGGCCCCGCCCTCATCCAATCACAAGCCGCCGCTGCACCAGGGACACGCCCCCTCCACCTGACCTCACACCCACCTGGTGCTCTGCCCACACGCGCCCGACAGGTCACTACAACTAACACACTAACACAGTTTTCACAGTAACTTTAATAAGATGAATTAACACTGATAAAGAGTTTTAGCTGTGCACATGGAATTACTTAGTAAACATTAAGTATTGCACTTCTGTTGTCTCCACTCTGCTGACCCACTTACACAAAAGGTCAATTTCCACCGACAGAGACGTGGAACTTGGAGAATTTCTTTCCTTCTTCAAGAGAACGATCAAACTGCCGCACTCTCATTGGCCATTCATTGAATTCAGAATTTTATGTGGGGGTCCAGCACCTCCTCATGACCATTCGGATATAATTGCACCTGTAATATTTAGAGGTGACCACTGCGGATCACACCCTCTGGGGGCGGCGCCTCCAGGGACTTGTGAGCTGATATACCAAAGAGGAGCCTCAGGTTTTTCCTTCTTCTGAACAAGAAACTCTCGTCAGTCGCACTCAACTTTAGCTGTCGACGGTAGTACTCCACTCGGGTTCCAACACGACCACTAACTCCAGTTCCCGGTATTTTTTTCTGATCCACTATTTTCTATACCATCACCAGATCTTAGATTTTTCTTCGGTGCCACTCAATTCAGTTTCCTTTTAAATCACTCGATACAACTTGTGTTATTATCACTAAACTGACTGTAGCTTTTCTTAATATCGCTGAATTTAGTTAAGGTTATTATCACTGAGCTTAGCTTCCGTCAGAAAGAGTTGGACTTATCTTCCGTCGGTGTGTATAAACTTAAGTTTCCGTCAGTACCATTGTATAGATTCCAGCATTACCACCAAGTTTTAGCTTCCGGCAGTGCCACTGTAACGTTAAAGTACGGATGGCAACTTTGGCTTGAGGCACTTTTTGAGAGTTAAAGTTAGAGAGATGACACGCGCAGGCGAGATCACAGCAGCTGGTTTTTACATCTGGAGCTGTAACCTTGGGGGCCTCCAGCTGGCGGTGGGCAGTAGTAAGGCAGGAATGATTAGCAGATCACAACTGCTGGAGTCAACGAGTGTAAAGGTAGGCTATGAGCGACGGCCTGGGGTGGCTGCTGCTGCTGCCGCTGCTGCTGCCGGAGCAAACAAGAGGGGGGACCACCACACTCAGGAAGGGAGTTCACTCGCCCCGTCGGGATGGCGTGCCAATATACCTAGCACGAGTCTGTGTTGGTCACGACAACAACCACGGGAAGAGACGCACGAGTCTCGGCCATCCACATGTGCTCGTGGAGGGTTGGGAGAGTGTACCTGTAGAGGGCGTCACCGCGGCTGTGGGCGGCCTTACTACCACTCCTGAGGGTGAAGCTGCTTCCCTGATTCCGTCCACCAACTTGGCCCTGATGATCTCGCGTGGGTCTCCCAATCGTGGTGGTGATGCTGGCGCTTCTGGTGGTGGTGCTGCTGGCACAGAAGCCGCGGAGGCACTGAGCGGGCCGGGCGGAGAGGGGCCGCGCGCCCCCCGCCCGGGGAGGGGTGTGGGGGCTTCCCAATTTGACGCAGGCACCTCGGCCCAGCTATGTTCCCCCTTGTCTTCTCTTTATGAGCCGCGCTCTACCTAGCTGTTCTGCCCAGGACCACTGTTATGATGCTCCAAGCTCCCTCCCTTCTCGGGTGGTCGGGCCTCACACCCACATGTTGAAGGATCACAGCTCCTGCACCTGTATCTCTAGGTCCCCCAGCTCCCCACCTCACAGCTCCCTGACCTACATCTCTAGGGTACGTACCTCCGAGGCCCCCAGCTTCCGGGCCCTCAGGTTTTTTGGGTCCTTGGTAACCGGATTTCACTGCTCCTGACATCAAATTCTTCAGGTTCACACATTTAGGGATTAAGGCGACAGAATCAGCAGCCCCTGGGTCCTCAGTTCCTATAAGCGGTGGTGCTCACAGTCTTGAGCTCTTGGTTCCTTTACAGTCACCTCCAGGGACCTGAGTTGCCCTTGATCCTCATTCAGGTCCTTCATAACAAAGAGTAGACCCCTTAAACACGGGTCCTGGTCCTCAGAGACAATATAAACGTGTATGGGGCGCCCACTTACCCGCCCACCACTTCCTCAAACCCCAAGTCGCAGCTTCACGGGTACTGGGTCCTCAGCTCCCCTTCCTGTGGGCACTATAAGATCACTTCCTTATCCCAATGGTACTGTAATCTCAGATCCTTCCCCATAGTTTCTGAACTCATCTAAAAGTGGTGTAGTTTATAACTCCTTCCCATTAATCCTCAACTCTCTCTCCCCTCCCCAAGGATACTGTACTTTCACCTCACCTCACCAGATACTGTAATTTGGGTTTCTTTTCCCTAGAGTACTGTATTTCCAGGATCCATCCCATGGGTTCTGTACCCTTGTATCCCCCTCCTCGTTTACTGTACACTCAGATTCCTTCCTTAAGGACACTGAACTCTCAGTTTGGGGATCCCTGAGTGATAACCTCCAAGAGTTCCACTGAGTTCTCAAGAATTACATAACTCAGTATTATAAGTCAGAGGTCCATCATGTTTTCGCCGTAAAATATGACAACGTTAATACTGTGCTATATGGCGGGACAAAAACAGTTCAGTTATAAATTAAAAGTTTATAGTATCAATAGGTTGAGTAAATCATTATTCATAATGAACACCAAATGTAGTGCACCAGTCTCCATATAACTAAATTAACAATTTTGTTTTACCTAAAACCATATAGTTGGTAACCGTTCTCAATAAAATACCTATGGAATTGTGTCCACTACATATTTATATTAATATAGCGGCAAGCGCGCGAGCACACACACACACACACACACACACACACACACACACACACACACACACACACACACACACACACACACACACACACACACACACACACACACACACACACACACACACACACACACCTACCTACCTTTGCGTGTCATTTTTTTTCAACTCTCAAAAAGAACCAACCAAACTTAACCACCTCATATTACATCATGACTGAGTATGGTTAGGTTAGGTTGGTTACTTTTGCTTTATAAAAGAACTTTACCCTTCAGGTGCGGCGTCGATCCATTGTACACGAGTAAAATTCACGGCAGAATATCCTCGTCGTAAAAGAATACGGTAGATTAAATAAATAAATAAATAAATACGTTCCAGATATACACAAGCCCTAGTCGTCTCCGTCACTGTCCCGCTGTGTGATGTTGACGGAGAACAAACATCAACATCGTTCATACATACGTTAACCGGCCATTAATCCGACTGACGTAGAAAAACCCTCATACGAACGGTTCAGAAACCTTCCACGTATGATCATGACGCTGATTGGTTGATATTCCCTGATAAATTTTACGCCAATGACTGATGAGGTTTGTGTTTATTTAACAAGTTTCGGGGAATATTGACAGTAACCATCACATGACTCAGTTAGGACTTCAAAGGGGTCAGAGAGAGAGAGAGAGAGAGAGAGAGATTCATTCCTGTGCGTCTCAACTAGTGACAGTAAACAATGTAAAGTCGAAGTCAAAAGTTCGCTCCCGCCCAAAATGAAGCAGCATCGACCCCCCAAATGAGTTGAAACAGTCAGGGTAAGTCACTTCGGAGACTCATTCCCGTGACTCAGTTTCACCACGGCACACTAGCTGCAGGGAGAAGGAAAAACAAAAACCAAGGCGTTCCAATTGCAAGGTCTATGTTGAATGTACACCCAGTTATTTCTACTTTGTACGAATCGCTTTGTTGTGATTTTCTACAACTTTGGGATTTACGGCTGAAGTCAGATTGTCTATGAAGGGAAACCAGTTTTAATATTACATCACCTTATTACCTTAGACATTAATAATTTCCCTACTATTTCAGTAACACATTTACAGCAAAATAAAATGCAAGGTTGGTAGACAATAATAATTCCAATGATAACTCATCTCTTAGCAGTGTTAGAAAACATGGTATCTCACTTAACACTGCAGCCCTCCATAAGCAATTGAGTTCACTTGTCCCACTATTACTATATCGAATGACTTTATAGAACAACAAAGCTCAGTGTGTGTGTGTGTATGTATGTATGTATGTGTGTGTGTAAATACCTATTCAATAATTTACCCCCAAAAAAGAGTTCCAAAAATATTCCCATTTTTTCCACTTCACATATTGTTTTGTCCCTCTGCCATTGGATCCGAAACACAACCATGAAAAACGAACCAAATGGCATATAACGTAGACCCAGATGTGAGTGTACCAACATTCACGGTGACCAATACACCACTGAATAATAACCAAACCAAACCAAACCTAACCTAACCTAACCTAACCTAACCAAACCAAACCAAACCTAACCAAACCAAACCAAACCAAACCAAACCAAACCAAACCAAACCAACCTAACCTAACCAAACCCAAACCAAACCAAACCAAACCAACCAACCAAACCAAACCAAACCAAACCAAACCTAACCAAACCAAAACCAAACCAAACCAAACCAAACCTAACCAAACCTAACCAAACCTAACCTAACCTAACCCAAACCAAACCCAAACAAAACAAACCTAACCAAACCTAACCAAACCAAACCAAACCAAACCAAACCAAACCAAACCAAACCTAACCAAACCAAACCAAACCAAACCAAACCTAACCTAACCTAACCAAACCAAACCAAACCAAACCTAACCTAACCTAACTTAACTTAACCTAACCTAACCTAACCTAACCAAACCTAACCTCACCTAATCTAACCTAACTTAATTTAACCTAACCTAAGTGCTTTATGTTTCCTTCAGAGTCTTAATCACGGTACACAAGGCGAGTGACAGAGTTGTGATGGCGATTAACTAATTAACTGTAAAAAATATCTGACATTTCTGATAATACTCGTATATGATC